ATGTTACGAGAACCACTGAATGTTCAACATTGTAAGAAATGCTGTGTATTTGTTTGGAAAAAATGCTGAAAAAATCCACAAAAATCAATACATTATTCTAAAGAATATTTGGAAGGCTAATCGCCTTATGCATAATTGTTTTGCATTGTGCGATTGTTACCATAATACTCCAGTTTCGAGATCTTATTTGTGCAGCCCTAACGGGCTTAACCTCCAAAGCATGTAACATGATATTCTTTTATTTGGCAGAGTTTCTATTGTAATACAAACACTCTGTCTACAAAGAAGACAATAAAAAGTTATGCTTAATTGAATAAGCTAAGCTTGCACAAAAGAGAATCCGAAACTGAAGTATTCACTACAACCATTCTGTATACAGCTATTTCAAAAAACGTTGAATGTTATTATGTATGCATGCATAGTGCACCACCAATACCGTAATGCATTGTTTCTGTTAACTCCACGTTAGATGCGTCACAAAATGACAATTCTAATTATAGTCTCTCCGAAACTACCACGAAAACTCCTTTTCAACGTAGATAGAACGAACGACCAACAATGCTTTTCGCTCTTGGAACACACTATCTTCCTCAGCAACTACTCTCAAAAAAGGGAGAAATGCACGACCGAAAGTCCATTTGGGTATTGATGGCAATATTCACCCACCAAAGGCAGGGAATGCTGTAGATTAACCCCCACAGTTGCTTTCGATGGTGCAGTTGATATGTTTTTTGAAACAGCTATATACTTGGGTGCTCACGGCTTTATTCGATTGACTGTAAACCAGTCTAACATGCCACCATCTGCCATTTTCAAAGGTCAAAATTGAATACTGAATTACTGTAGTCAGGATGTTAATACAAGCTAATGATACGGGCTAATCACTTGTAGCTATGCTAGGAAGTCGCGAGTTTGAACCTTCACAGGAATTGATCATTATTTTCTTCATTTTTTTTAAGAACAAAAGTGATTTGTTTTTGTTTTTTGTTTTCCCGCGTTATAAGAACCAGCAAAAACATATGAAAAATGACAAAGAAACTCATAAATAAAAAGAGGAAAAGTAGGAAAAATATTAATGTTCTTAAGGTCCTGTAGTAACTATAAGGCTCGAACTCGCAACGGCRTGAAAAGCTAGAAGTGATGAGCCTGGGCAGCCTGTGTGTGAATAAGCCAATAGAGTCGTATGAGTGGGAAACGTACGGTAGAAATGACCGCACAGTTACCGGACCTGGCCTGCACAAGTTTTGTGAACCAATGGGGCACTAACTAGAATTTGGTTACAGTACGATTACGGTCACAGTACAGTACCGTCCGTTTCTCACTCATACGAAATTAACTCTAATGGCCATGCATGTGTCGATAATTCAAAYGCCGACTTTTCTAACACCTTAATTTCACGGGTTTAGTGACTTCACTAAGTAATTATTGTAGGAATTATAGAATTGAGCCTGCCATTAGAATATATATAAAAACAAAAAACAAAAACAAAAAAACAATCACAGACCAAAAAAAAATTAAAATACCACAAAACAAGACAGAAAAAAGAAAAAAACAAAAAAAGAAAACCGAGAAAAAAATTCATAGTTAATCAATAGGTTCCTAGAATTTATGAATCATTTTACGTAAGTTTGATATATCATCATTTTAATTAAATGCAGGCATTCAATTTTCATATTTACCAATGTATTCTTTCTTGTTCTCTAATGCACGTATAACATTAAAAATGTTACAAAATGTAACTTGTGATTTTTCTTGCTCTCGGGTAGACTTTCCTAATATGGGATTACAGCAAAYTCAAAAAAGCTGAATAACTGTAAACTACGAAGTCCATTTCAAGACCGCAATGCATAGCTGTTAAACTCTGTTACAAAACTTGTAAACTTACTTTTTTAACTCGGAGATTGCGTAGCAATCTTAGAGTTATTGGGAGGGCACAGGCTGTCACTCGCTCGATCACTTTCCTGTAAACTTGAGCCTGCGATGTCTTTGTCAGCAGTTATTTATTTAATTATATTAATGTATTCTACTTAATTATTATTTATCATATCTAATTTTTCTTTACTGGTTTCCCTGTGCTATATCTACATGTAATTGAAATGATTTTTTTTTGGCAAATAAAGAAATCAAAGAAATGGGTCATCTGAGATCTGAACCCGGGCACGCTTGATTGGAGATCAAAGGCACTACCGATTAGGCCACGCGTGCAAATGTTACACAATATCGGCTAGACTTGTCTTTTAACTGATGGGCGCTCGCCCGTGCTTGTCTAGAATTCGAAGTTAAAACTATAACTGGGTGATTTGAGAAAATGCGACTAGCCAATCAGCGCAAAGCGGACAAGCTTATGTTGTAAACATAGCCCCCTGACGGGAGGAATTTGCACAGCAAAACTCGACCGAGTGGAGTAGGCTGCCCGCCATTTTATTCTATCCAAAAAATCAAAGCTTAACGCAAAGAGAAATTGAAAATCTTTATAAAATAGCTTCTAATAAATGTCAATCAAATATTTATCGTTATAGAAATCGAATTTTATCTTAAAAGTTAAATAACAAATAATTTTATTTTTAATACCACGAGACTCCCCTCTCCCTGATAAAAAACAAAAATTGGTCCGTGTTCTACGCGGGTTCTCCATTGCATGCGAAGCAATGGCCGACTTCACAAAGACTTCACAGAAGATCGTTGAAGCGACGTTCAAGTCCAAAATATCTTAGGAGGAGCCATTGCAAATCCTTTTTCTTAGCTCTTGTTTCCTCTAAGCTTTGAGGTATCTACAACATCACTGGAAGAGCTAGAGCAGCTTAGCTCCACGTATTCCAATAGAGTTAAAGCGTTTGTTATTTTGGTACAAACAACTTTCGTAGTTCATCCTTTGTCGCATTTTCGGCAATAAGCCG